GAAAATTAAGGTAATCGTTCGCTTGTATCATTGCAACTTTCCATCAGAATGTACGATTAGGCAGTTCAACATTGCACATTGGACTCCATCAGATTAATGTAACCTTGAAGTGGGTTTCTGGAATATTAGTCTTCCTGTGCAACTGATCTAGGCACAACTACTGGTGCATACCTTAAATTCGGATAAACGATTTACCTAAAATATTTCTCTTCCCGTTAATTACACTAATCAATCTACTAGGGTTTGATAAGGCGTCATGGAGTTGATTTGGGGTGTCGTATATGAATACTAATGCTAGCATCAATTTTGATCAGACCGTTTAAGTACGGTGTGTTTTTCTGACCAATATTTCGTATCTGTATGAGGGTTTAATTAAACCATCCCAATTACGATGTCTTAAGGTTAGTTATGTTGCATAGGCCTTTCACACCATGTCCATGATTTCAATGTTTTTGTTAAGTAAGAAAATTTTAATGTCAATTGTAACAGAGACGATTATTGCCAAANAACAGAGATGATTATTGCTAAAGTGATGAAATGGATGAAGTGATAAAACATGCTACTGGGACGAGTAAATTTGGAAGGATCCCATTGAACCTGTACCCATACATCAGTTACACTTGCTCTTCTACAAAATTGTATACGATTTTTGAATAATATTCCCTCACAAGATTAATTTACACAATGTCGTTGTACTCTTTTAATTGCATCTCCCAATTGTGTGGAATATGTGAAAACCAGTAGTATAATATTTATGCTTATCTTGCATTCCCCACCGGACGTAATATTATGAACTCATGGATACATGTAAATGTAGCAGTCATTACTTCATTTGGTTTCGAATGTTATTTGTCATCTACATCATCCATGCAGGAGAGCCCTAGGTACGCAAAGTACAGAAACATCAACTGTAGCGAGATCTATGACACGTACGGCAGATTATTCGGCGACACTGGTGACTCAACCAAGTATGCGTTGTCTCCAACCAAGCTGTTGCAGCATGGCTTTGATCTGGGAACAGATAGCGATAGGGAGTACGGAGGTGACAAGTTCC